GATGTTTGTAACTCTGTCTATAAATGTATATCAGTAAATACATATCAGTGTATGTATATCAGTAAAGCCCTGCTTTTGGAAAGTAACCTATGTTAATATGAAACACAGCTCTACTTCTCAACAACTGTAAATATGTCTTATATTATGCACTGGTCATAGCACTTTGTACTGCTAACTTCTATTATGTCAGTTTGTGTTAGGAGTTGGAGAAATGGATTAGGAAGTAAGGGTTTATTTTCAATGTCTCTGATGCCCTACTCTGACCTTTTGGACAACTGTATGCACATGATACACATAAAATTATGCAGAAACAAAGAAATACACATATATTTAAAATTTTTTCTTGTTTGTAAAAAAATATTATTAACTACACATGCATACTCTTTTCTTACACCTCCTTTACTTTTGAATTTCACAATTTGATGAAATAGAAAGGCTCTGACATGTTTATAATGCCTCATTCAGATTGACTGATTGGTGATTGATTGAATGATCTATTGATTGACGTGTAGTGAAGTGAAAGATGCTGGAAGAATGAAGCAAGGCTATTCTGAGAAACACTCTTTGAAGATATTTTAAAAGTTATGCAATTTGTCACTCAATAAAAAATATGTCTATGTGGTACATGAAGTTTTGGCACTCTAGTTTGACCAAATGGCTGCACATGTTGACAACCTAAGTATCTGTGTTCAGCTAGACAATGCATAACATGAATTATATTATTATAGGGTGTACCAACCACTCCTGCATAATGACTCGGCCCCTTTCAGTTCTACTACTACACTCTGCTTTACTTTCAAAATCCTCTCCCTATATAGTTGGTTATTTCAACATCTTATACATTAGTCAGTCTTTTGATGTTTTTTGAATAATATTTTTCTAGATACAGCAAAACTGCAATCTAATTCATCACATAACTGTCCCTGGGTCAGGCAACCGCCAGAGTTTGTCTAAAAATTCTTTAAGCCATCTGCAATATTATGTGTCCAGTGATCGCTTACAGGTACCTAATTATACTATTGCCTAAGGATTTCATACATTTTCTTTTACTGATAAGGGTTAATCTGCAAGTCTCCCAAGGGCTTTACATAAGTAAAGCACACAATGTCATTTCTTGTACTGAAAATCCCCATTATTTTTAGTACATAAATTTGGTATATGCTAAAGAAAAGTTATCTGGTGAAAAATAACCAAGAAGATTAATGAGTAATAACTCGATGCAATGCTGTATGAGATACTTTATCACTGAAGCTATCCTGAGGAGTGGCAGACACAGTTTTTCTATGTTTCTTCTGGATTTTTTTTAAACAATATGCTCTCTACTCATTCACCCTAAGGAGACCAAGAATATTAATGGCTTAATATTTGTAAGCAGCTATAGATTCTCTAGCCAAGGACAGAGTATCTCATTTGTAAAATATGACCCCAAGAAACTGAACTTCATGTGAAATAAACACTACCCAAACTCCAGTTCACTTTGTGTTATAAGAAGCCAATTTGCATTGTATCTTCTATGTTGTTAGTTTTCATTCCTTTTTATCATGTGGATAAGGATGGATAGATAGATGCTGCTTTGATCACAATGTCTTCTGTGATAGAGAAAATTCTGAGGGATTCTTCTATGGAGAGTGATTTAAAACACACCACAACATTCACACAATTTAACAACTTTGCTTAATGATTATAAATATTCAAAATTAGAAAGATTTTTGGAGATGAGAATTTCCAGCTGGCTGATGTGCACAGAGTTAAGAGGCTTCCTAGATGTTACACACTGTCATGTAGGATGGTATTTTAGCACTCTACTGAAGGTGTGTTGTCAAGAACATTGGGTAGTAGATTAGCCAGGATTGACTATGTCTTTAATAACCCAGATGACCTGAAGGAGGAAATTTCTAGCCATTGAGGACAAATAAGCATGAATCCACAGAATCGAAACTGGTAAGTGATAAAGGGGCCTTGACTTAGCCAGGCTGGGATGACCTATTTGTAAAGACAGCTTTCAGGAAGCAGGTTTTCTTTTCCCTCTGATTTTTGTTTCTTTGGTCTGTTCTTTTGTTTGTTAATTATTTGTTTTCATTTTTGGCTTGAGGGTGGGTTTTAGTTGTGTGTGTGTGAGTTTGTGTGTGTGTGTGTGTGTTTCTTCAATTTTTGATTTAGGGATAAGTGGACATTTGGTGCATGTGAAACGTTTTCCTACAGTGGAACATGCTATCTGTGTGGGACAACGTGTGATTAAAGCTCTCAGAGGTGAGCTTTGGTTCCTTCCAGGCTTGCTCTGTAGAAAGTTTTGAATCCCCACTGACTTGTGACTGTTTTTGTTGGATCAACATCTGAAAGCCTTTCTTGACATTTGTTACTTCACTGTACTTTTGTTCCCAGCACATCAATATAGTTTTGATGGCAGCAAAGTTGACCGGATGGGTGGAACAAGCTAGATAGACACCATGTTGTTTCTTTCAAAAAGTGTTCAGGGCTATTCAAAGCAGAGTATGGAATAGGAGACAAAAGCACATTCCTGAATAATCAGCTGCTCTCAGCTGTGATTTCAGTCCTAAGTGGTACATATTTAAATAAACTTCTCCTCGAGACTCCAATAGAAGATAATGCTTCTCCTCTTTTGAGCTATATTGTTTCGGAGAAGTGGTTTGGAACCAGGAATTAGGCCTTCTTATTCTTTCACAGTCATTATACCATTATGGGGTATTGTACTGTTGTTTTGGTTTTGCTCTCTATATACCCTAGGCTGGCCTCCGACTTGACTTGTAGCAATCCTATCTTAGAAGTGCCATACAAGTGTGAGCCACCATGCCTGTGTTCCTTACAGCACTCTTTCAACACAACCTTTACTTTCTTTGTTATTGTCACACCATGATTAAACTACTTTGTTGGAGAACTGTGGGGTAGAGATTTCAGTGTGAACAGTTTGGAGACATTAGGAGCTTGGCTTCATGAAGTTTTGTGTATATTATAGAATGACTTAGGGTCTAGAGAATTGTTCTGTAAGTGTATATATAGAAATCTAAAGAAGTCTCATCATTTACTATTAATTAAACTTCATGTGATGAATGGCTGTTCATCAGAGGGTGACACTTGCCCCTAATGGATATACAAGCCTGGAGGTGCCTGTAATGGAGATCATCTCTCTCTCAATGAATGTGATTTTACAGGTCTGATCTTGCACATGGTCATTCTCCTATGCAATGATAGGTATTCTGTGTAAATTTGCAAGGCTCTTTTGAAAAGCCTTTCTTTCTTCTGAGCTCAATAGGGATAATAAACACACATCTGTCTTTGAAGTCGAGTGGAGAGTGATTCCATGAACCCAAAAGGCCATTATGAAGGAATGTGAAGGAAAAGGTGACAAACTTGACTAACAACCATTTGGAGATGAAAATGTGTTTTACTGGGGAATTCCATTAACTGATCAAAGGTGTGTGTGTGTGTGTGTGTGTGTGTGTGTGTGTGTACATGTATTTATGCAGCTTTTAAATGAGAAGTTGAAATTTGTGTCTCTGTGTGTTTTATCAAACAAGTTTGGCCATCATCTTATTGACACAAGCTCTCCAAAGGCACATCAAAGCCGGTTTGTCTGGTACATGTCTGCAATTCATTTCCTGAATTTTCTGTCTCATTATAGTTTCACTTGTTCACAGAGAGACATTTTTTTCACTGTAGGCATGAGGAATAGAGCAGGGTTCTATTCAAAGGAGACCATTTTCTTTGGATACTGACAATCACTTCCACTGGTGACACTGAAACCAGACAGAGAAGTATTTCTTCCTCAAGGTCAGAAAACCTTGTCTGTAGCCTCACCTTGCAGCCAAGAGAAGGTCCAGTACTGTTAAAAGTTTTACTGAACCAGAGTCTGCATCAAACTGATTTGATGGTTCCAAACTATCAGTGAACTTTCAACTGTTGAGTAACTGTACTAACATGTTTGGTGGTTTAATTATAATAAAGTGCTGCTTGCTAGCCTGGACCACACACTGTGATAGTTCTGAGGACAGACACAGTATAGGCTGAGTCTCTGTCCTCCTGGTAGATACTGGGGCTATGAAAGATATCCATTTGCTTTCAGATATCCTCATTTAGACATAAGTATCAAGACTCAATGAATTTCTAATTTCACCCCCTGAAGTCTATGCTTATACATTTTTCAAGATGACTGTGGAGCCAGTATAAAGCATGCAGAAGAACAGATCAAATGGGCTGAAACTACTTCTAATATCCTCTATTTTCACATGCTTTGTTCTTCACCAATACCATCCTCTCACTAATCCTAACAGCAGTACTTGCACCAAAACTAGAAGGCTATGGAGGTTAACATGACAGCAGTATAAGGATGACACTTAAATCCCTGAGGCATTCCACACTTTTCCCTCTGACTTTTCATCATCAACTGTCTTGACCAACATTCTCCAGCAGTGAAGATTGTAATCACTTTGAACCCCTCAGTGTCCTGCTAAGCCTGGGCTGGGCAGAAAGGTCCAAGTCTGATCTTACATCAGTTCCTAGGCAGCACATCTTTCTCTAGAGCAAAGATTGCAGAGTCAGCTTCTTCTAATTTGTAGGGTCTAGAATGTTTGAGGCTTAGTATCACTTATCTGAAAAAAAAAAAACCTTATTAAAACCACCATTGTCCTGTCCTTCCTAGTGTGCAAGTGTTGGCATCAGCAAAACGTAAGTAAACCAAATCGTGTCAGCGTCTAGCAGCACAGCTTGTGTGAACTGTGCTCTGAGGAGTATTGAGGGGTGCTTCACATATTACTGCCTAGCATGGAACTTATGCACATTTGTGTGCTTGCTTCGACTAGCAGCAGCTATCTCTGAGCCAGGTGATAGCTGTTTAGGATGAAGGTCTCCTTTCTCCTCTGCTAGAGGTTAAAATGACAAGCTGAGTAAATTCTATAAAACTTAGGAGCATAGCATTGAACATGTCAAGTATATATCCAATACTTGGTTTCCAAACAGAAGAAATAAAGAGCATTGAAACTCACATCTCTTTCCTCCCAGGCTTCCCGTCCAGGTGGTCTCTTTCAGGGTCTGTGTTAAAAGTGTTATGAAGCAGGAGTTATTTCAGGCTGGTACTGAAGGCAGGCTGTCTTCGGAATATTACCTGATGGCCAGATCTTTCCAGTGAGAATTTCAATAGGTGAGATAGAAATGATGAGCAATGAGAAGCATTACAATAGAAACATCATTTACAATGACAGCCTCACATCTGTTTCACTGTCTAATTACAAGTACAACACTCCCCCAGACACCCAGCTCAGGCAGCCGGGGGATAAATCACAACCATAAAAAAGCTACACACAACAACATGATTCTGATTGTCATAGTTACATGTGCTTTGTATTCAGAACCCCACACATGCTTTAGTTCTGTGCCTGTCCTGTGTTTGCGGAGAACTGGCAGGATGGAAGGAGAGGAAATAGAGTTTTTACACTAATCACACATGTTTCCCATGGATCAGCCTAACTATCTTGTATGAACAAAGTAAGATCCTGAGAACAGAAAAACAAAAACTTCTATGTGAGAAAAAAATCAACTCTGGAAAGTTTTCTCAGACATTTGTCAATAAATATCTATTAAATCCTACTATATGACAGGTTTGGTGCTAGCCTAAGGGGTCAAGGGAGTAAACAAAGCAGATACTCTTAGAACTGACATTCTAATTCTAGAGAGAGCCATTAAAGATGATTGCACATAGAAATACATAATTATGGCTGTGATGTTTCCATGAAAGCAAAACTTCAGTGCTCTACAGCAATATAACATTCAAGGAAAAAAATCCTAAGAACATTAAAAAAAAACCCTAAGGGAAACAGCAAAAAGACTACTGGAACTATTTCTCAGCTGCCCTGAAATACCTGTAATTTGAAGCAGAAAACAGTATGACAAAGAATATTGAAGGTATATTTTACTGATTTAAATTTCAATTATTTTAAACATAAAGAATGAGAACACTCCATTATTGATGTTAGCTTTTACACTGAGAAGAAATATGATTCATTTTGATTAGGGTAGAATGCTCTGAAACACAGAAAACAGACCCATTATTACCTCAACTCTGATACAAGAGAAGGTTGCTTAAGACACCACATTACACATCTCTACTATGATGTTGTTAAGTACTTGGAAAGAAGAAAAAATGCTATTGAAAAAACATGGAAGAAATTGTGTTTGTGTGTGTGTGTGTGTGTGTGTGTGTGTGTGTGTGTGTGTGTGTGTGTGCGCGCGCGTGCGCGAGCGCTCGCATTTTGTGTAGGTGTCCATAAAAAGGGCTTCTCTTCATCTTGGATTAAGGTCAGACAGTTCAAAAGTATCCATACTCTTCCAAGGTTATAGTTGTAAGACCTAAAGATCTAAGGTATGGCTACTATAGGATGTTTAGTCTTAGGCATTGATGTCTTTTCTAAATAACAAGAGACTTGGTCTAAACTGTGGTTGTTCTTAATGCTCAAGAGCAGGTAAAGAGAGATTTAGGCTAAGGCATGGTACTAAATGTTTGGAGAATTAAGGAAGAAAGTTTGTTTCTTCCTTGTATCTTGATAAAGAAGTGTTTTTCCCTTTTTGGTTTGGGTATATTAGAATGCGGAAGGCAAATTCTTTCTCATTTAGCTTTTCTACATTGTGCTTTAACTCTTGTAGTCTCCAGCTCACCTTTCTATCCTTCACTTTTTCTACAGTAGCTGTGAAGAACCAAAGTGCTGTAGACCTACCTAGCTTGGCATGTAGTGTGTGGAGTTGAAAATAGGAAAAAGTCTAAATTTTATAGTTAGCTAACATGCTGCCTTTAACGAAGGAGTAGAGAGCTCATGACTCATCCATTGGATCCTACTCATTTAACATCAGGTGCACTTGCAATGTCTTAAAAATATCTGGTCATTTCTCGTTTTAATAATGGTGTCCTTTTCCTCTTTATGTTTCTTTAGGAACATAAAAAAGTAATAGAGAAGCAATTTTCTGTGATAATTTAGAAAGGAAAACCAAAGCTATTGTGGTCCACAGTGCATGGTTAGCTGTCTGCTTTCATTCCACAATCCCCCAGCAACCTGTCTTGTCAAGTGTAGTTCCTATAATTTTACAGCTACAAAAGGCATGAGCGATAACCATATCCAGTGTTTGTATAATAATACCTTGTAAAAAAGAGTGCTTGTCACAGGGAAATGGCTAATTATGTCACCTCTTGGAAACTACCATTGCCCCTTGTTTTACAGAAGCCTGAAAAGTTTGGTGATGATAAAGAGGTTCAAGTGACTTGCATAGATTTTGTCACAGCTGTTTCACGGCAGAACTCTTTCAAGGGCTCCAGGTATATAGTCAATGAAATTTGTGTTCGTATAGAATATACTTTGAAATGCTAATATCACTCAACTTTGTTATTCACAAGGAAACTGTGCTCCAAAGTGGTGGTTTATCAGTCAGTTTTCCTCATGCCTACAGTGAATAAACCAACAATGTGACATATTGATCTATACATGAATGCTACCTTTGCCCACAAATATCATAACAGTCATAGTCAACTGACTGGTCATGCTTTCATATGTATTCAACAAGCACAAGTATATATTTACATTTATTTCTAGGATGTTTCCCATATTCCTTCTAAACTTGCTTCTGTAAATGTGGTGATACAAAATGTGCATTCATCTGATCACATTCTTTGTTCAGTCTCTCTTCTGTGAGTACATACTTGTATGTGTGTAGATGTGGATGTACATGTGTGCACATGCTTATAGAAAACTGAGAAAAGCCTTGGCTATTGTCCCTCAGGTCCATCTATGTCTTTCTGAGACTGAGTCTCTCACGAAGTGGGCTAGTCTGTCTGTCCCTAAGAGTTCACCTATTCTCATGTCTCTAATACAGGGATTACAATGGGCGTGCCATAATCCTTTACTTAATGTGACTTCTGGAGATTGAACTCGGCTCTCAGAAGGACCTTGAAAAGCTCTTCACTGACTGAGCCAGCTCCCCAGTCCACCTTTGTCTTGCCTTTGAATGTGTATTTATATAGCAAACTTCCCAGATTCCAGCTATAGTCATGTGGGAAGAAATGACAAAGTGTGAGGTCATCATGATGTTATAAAATACCTCAGGAGTTGATCAATATTAATTTATGGATGCACTCTAAGGAACATGCCTCCTTTTTCAGCTGACCATTTCTATTTCCCAGCAAAAGCCTCATGGAAAAGAACTATAAAAGTTCTTTCACATTGGCCTTGAGACTGTAAGCCATGGGGAGCATTGATTTGAAGAAATAGGTGACTTTTATTATTGTGTATGACCCACAGAAAGTGTCTTCATTTCCTCCATAAAGAAAAACTCATTTGAAAGATCACTGTGAGACCCTCACATAACAGAGAAGAACTATGCATTGTCAAAACTCTGAGTGGGAAAGTGCTTGCAAATTGATTTTGTAGCTTGCTTTGACCAATCTGCTTTTCATTAGTTCCACCCACATAAGTACTAAATGTATAAAAATGAGAAGGGTTTGTGTATGTGTGCTTACACATGCTGTTTCGTTTCAATGTGATTTATCACAGGATCACACCCCCAAAGCTGTAGCCTTCCTATGAAGGGGAAGGGAAAAATAATGACCATCCTTCTGTGGGTCCCAGACCTGAATTACTCCATTTTCCCAAGTCAGCAACTCCCCTTCACATCTGAGGCACTAAAGTTGGTTCCTGAAAATATCGCCTGCTGGTTAAATCACCCACAATGGATGGGCCCTTAAAGAGGCAGACAGGCTTTGAAATTTATTGCCATACGTCTGTACATCTTTCTAAGGTCTGCAAGTCTCTGCAGTCTTCCTCAAACAAGGCTTCCAATGCTTGCCCCTGCAGGGGGCAACCAAGAGCCATGCAGCCTGACAGACACATGCTTATACCTTCAAGAAAAGTTAGCAGGGATTTCCTGGTGTGGGTCTTGGCAGGACCTTGACAGTTGATCCAAGTCCTGGGAATGGCTTGAAGCTGACTCATCTTTTATTTTTACTTAAGAGTATACATAACTGCTTGGGAGAGAATATTACTTCTAAGGCCTGGTTTTTCTGGCTTTTAGTCTGTTTCATATACACACACATAAACAATCTATGGAAGTCAAAATTTTCCATACATCTATAGGCACTCTGTTTCTCTGCCCTCCTGGCAACACTCTCTCATGGTAAGCAAGCAGAGTTCTACTGGATACCACAAAATTTGTCCACACCATTCACACTTTCTATACACCATTTTGGAACAGGCTTGTTTCCATATTTAATCTGATTTTCTGAGCTCTCCAGAAGCCAGGATGGTGTCAACTGGATTTGCAGAGAGTCTTAAAATCTATTTCACTTATATTCAAATTTTCTAGTTGAGTCTGCCCAGTGTGTGTTGCATTTAACTACTTAGAGCAGAGCCTGTCATATTTGAAGGATGCAGAGGCTTGAGTGCCTTCCTTCCATTCATCTAGAATTACCCCTTTAATGTGTGAAAAGCTGACTGATTGAAGGAGGACCCTTCTCAGTGCTCTGTTGAGGGCACTTGTGAAAAGATAACATTGACAATTCCCAATATTGAAAAAAAATTCAACATCTTTGAAAACATGAAGTTTCATAAGTAGTTTATTTGAGAGTGTATTCTCTCCTTATGTGAGCTTTACATCCAGCTTTCCTGTTGCCAATATGTGCACTTCAGAAAACCTGAACGGTGCTGTGTGCAAATCACACTCAGTGCACTTTAGCTCTGCCATTGGTGTCTCAGAAGTTTGGATCCAACAGAAACCACAGGAAACAGCTGCAGCCTGAGAAGTGAGACCACTTTGTAACAGCTTAGGTTTCTAGGTCATCTCCATAAGGATCACCAGATCCTGGAAGTTCCTAGACACTCTGGCCTTACCACGGGCTGATCAAAAAGAGAATCATGGTGCTGAACTACAGCAAGTCTTTGGTGTGAGTCTTGTGGACTGATATCTGACAACTGTTGGCTTAGATATTTTTGAGGCTTTTGGGAGGATGTTTTTGACATAAGGTAGTTTCATTTACTGCTTTGTAAATTCATCAAGTATAATATGTAGTTTTCTAACCCCTTAAATAGGAAACTCTTAGAAAGACAATTTACTCAAGAGCACTTTACTAATACAGACTACTCCAATGCAGTCCACTGTGCAAATACTTCCCCTGGGAGACAATATTCTACCCAAAGTAGGCTTTTCTGAGTCTGGTGACATTATTTATGAATGAACCTGGTATAACTACAGTGACTGATCATAATTTAAGAAGATAAAGAGGAATAAGAAAGGATATAGAAGAGAAGGGAAGAATGAGGGGATGGAGGGATGGAAAGATGGACATCTGACAGAATCAATTAGATGTATTGGGATACTTTTATAAAAATTCAGATTTCTCAGCCAAACAAAATATGGATATAAGTTATAAAACTACTATCATATTAAAACCAACTATTGCTGTCATTGATCTTGTAATCCAATGACTGGAGGAATTACAGGTCTATACCACCACATATGGTTTTAAATCCACCACCTTCATGCATCAGGGAAATACTCTTAATTTGTGAGCAGCTAAGGTAATAAGACTTCATAGTTTGCATCTGTTGTATTATTTTCTTCTGTTATATTTAATGAAACAATCTTTTATAATTATAAAAGAAAGAGAAAGCACTAACTGCTCAAAATTGAAGGAAGGCTTTAAGTTAAGTGATCCCTACCTAGATTGAACATGGAGAATTTAGTGTCCATATGATTAATCTTTATTGTGCAAATGCCTATGTAGGCATGTTAATGCATCCTAGTGGCTCTTAAGTACATGAACAAGTGAGTCTCTGATTTTTGTGCCTTCTCATGAGCTCTTTTCCTCCTCTTGTTTTACCTTTCCAAATTTGATGACATATTTTTCTTTTATCTTATTACATTTTATTTTCTCATGTTTGGTTATTATTTTTTATAAACCTGTTGTTTTTTAATGAGAGACAGAAATGTAGTGGATCTGGATGGGAGAGGACGTGGGAAAACTTTAACAAAGATTTATTGTATGAGAAAGGAATCTATTTTTAAGAAAAGTGGGAAGAAAGAAAAAGACGGATGGATGGATGGATAGATAGATTCTCATGTCATTCTTTTAAATAAATTGTTAGCCTTTTATGGTGAGTTCCTGAAGCCTGGAATATCTTCCTTTATTCCTTTCTCTTGACTCTTATTTTGACATAATGTTTTCACAGTTTTCTTCTGTCAGCTTCTCTCTGAACTTTCCCCACATTTTCATAATATCTTGTGCATTGCACTAACATTGACTTATGTCATGGCCTTCAATATAACACATTTACTTTATGTCCAGGCCTGTGAGTGACTGGGAGATGATATAAAGTATCAGGATAAAGTGTATGGCTTATATGCAAAAACTCTAATGTTTTAAAAAAAATAATGCAACATACGTGAATTTTGGTGTTCACACAGCATCCTGGAGCCAGTATTCTGCAGCAACTGGAAGAAAAGTGTGTTCATAATACACTCTAGGTTCCTATTCTATGTGAAAGAGCTGGTACATGGCTAGCTCTCAAACATTGTTGAATAAACAAACAAACAAGGACAGAAAAGTATTACTAGGTAGACTTCTAGAACTATTGTAATATGAACTGATAAGAATTTTTAATGAATTTGTGGAAAAGTTGTATTATTTATATATTGTTTCCTGGTTGGCTTAGTTTTGTATTTATTGACCCAGTCTCATATTCTGTAGAGTGTGATTTGGTTCAGAAACCTTAGGTCATGTTAGAGAGATATGAGACATGATAATTCTCATCCTGTGTATCGTTTTGATTGTTATTTCATCTTTTGCTCCTACCAGATGATTATCTGCAGTCTGAGGTTATACATGTAAACATGCCTTTATGAGAGTTGCATTATTGATAGAATATAAAATTTTCATGTCGACTATAATGAATTTCAAAGTTAATCAGGAGATACAGAAAAATCACGTTTCCTATTTCTCAGCTTTGTATGAACTAAGACATCAACTCCACAGATACAAGATATTTTCTCTAAATGAAGTTCACATCTTCTGGCATGGTCATTTGTTCTTGTGTTGGTACTTCTAGAAAACCACAAGTTTAGCTCACCCAACTGTAACCTGGCCAGCCAAAGCACAAATCTCAGAAAATCTATTCACATGTGTCTAAAATAACATGCTAGAAGTATCTCCCACACAGTGAGCATAAACTCAAACATTATACATGGTCGCTGAGTAATACACTTTCTTCCTGACCTCTGAGTTTAGTTTAGTTTAGTTTAGGTGGGTTTTTATTTGTTAGTTTCTGTATTTTTCTTCCCTGTTTCCCTATTTACTTTTAGTTTTTAAATTTATTTTTGTTTGTGTACACACAAGATGTGTATGAAGAGGCAAGAACACCAGGTATTCTGTTCTATCAGTCCCCTTATTATTCATTGAGATAGGATGTTCTACTGAGCCTGGTGCTAGTTGGTAACCAGAAAGACCCACTGATCCTCTGTTCTCTGACACTCCCACCACACCACTGGGATATGGGAGACATATAAGGCCAAGCCCAGTTTTTACTTGGATTCTACGGATTTGAACTCATGTCCTCATGTTTGCTTATCAAGAACTATTGATCCTGAGTCATCTTCATAGACCTTGCTATTCTGTCTTAATGAAAACCTACTTATATTATTTTAAATGGGAATGGATTGAGAACAAGTAAGTAAGCTGAATTTCTAGAATCGCTGTCATTCCAAAAAAGGAACTGGGGCTTTTGATTTCTAGACTAGAAATATACTGGTGACCCTTTACACAAAATTACTTTAAGATCAAAATAGAAGTTTAACTTCATTAAGTTAGGAGCAAGCTATTTCATCTAACTAAATCTATATGTGACATCAACAACCATAGACTACATATTTACATAAAATCTATATGTATTCTTCCAACTGTCTCATTTGTGTTAATCTCATCATGTGACAAAAGGATTTCATATTGTGTGACTATCTCAACCTATTAAATACTATACTATATAGAAATACAAGGAAAATACAGAATTTGAATGTATGGTGTTAACATACTAGAGTTCTTCACATTGTTTAGACATAATCTGAGATAGCTCAGAAGTTCATGTCTGTGCTATTCCAACACACGTGTGATACATTCATTTGTAATGAAGACCCGAAAGGTTAGTCTGGACCTGGTACATTTCAGAAATTGAAATGATTATTAAGCCACTAAAATGAAGTGGCTTTAGTTTTACAATGAAAGCAATTCATACTGAAATGAACGGGATTTTGTTTTGACACAAGGTAAGCAAGCATTCTGAAACAATGGTAACATTTAAATATATATGCAAAACAAAAAATAAGTTGAATCAAATAGGAAAAAAGTATTTCTCTTTCTTGACTGAGGCCCCTATCTTATGTAATCCCATGTATTTAATTTACTATGCTGGATTATAGTCATCTCATTTTTGACTGCTACAGTGGATGCTCTATGGCTACTTTGGGAGTATGATTTAATTTTTTGAAATAAATAAAAACTGCAATTTTCAGCCAAAATTTTACTTCCTTTTCTACTTTGTGTTTCATTTATTTGGTATCAATAGAAATGTAGAAAACATCTTACACTGTATACAGTGAGTTAAAACCTTTACTAAAAAAATAGTCCCCTCTCAGACACCATGTGAAGCATCTGAGTCTAAGAAAATTGGTGGTTTTTCTCTCAAATTATTTTACGTTCAATGGCCTTGTTCTTAAACAGGCTAAATATGTCAGCGAGTCTAAGTGTCAATATAAGACCATTTTTTCTTTTTTTTGTAAAATAAAAATCCTAGATAAGGGAGGATTGCTGAAGTGAAAAGGAAGAGTGTAAATATTTGATCCCCTGTGAGTTGGGACAAGGCTATTCATTAATTTAGAGCTGGAAGCTGAGAGGGCTTTGAAAGTAAGTAATGAAGCAAACAGGTCATTGATTACCTACACATAATGCAATCTGAAAAGTCAAGAACCTAGCTTCTCACTTAGCCAGGAGAAAGGAACTGAATGTTTGTTCACTTTTCAAAATGAAAACACACGATGCTTTCAGTTACAAATATAAAGAGGATTTATTGTAAAATTCAAATTCAAAATCCAAAAAGCATATCAAATATCCCACTGCCTGTTAGGTAGTAAATAACTTTAAAATGTAATAAAGAATTCTTCAGTATAATAAATATTTTTTCTATTCTTCATAAGCAAGGATATGTCCAAACTTCAAAATTACATAAGAGAAAAAGTGAATGAAGGCATTAGGAGAGGAAAGGAAAAAAAAGGTTACAAAATCAAACTAATCTTGCTAATGTTGAAAGCAAACTCCATAACGAGTTTCTTCAATGCCCATCCTCCTTTCTGATGTAATTGGTGTGCCAGGAACAGTTGTGTCTCATTGCCAAGAAAAACCCTAAACCATTTAAATGCCATATTTCTGTAGGTCTTTGAATGAATTGAAGAATTCCTATCCATCTCAAATATATCTCTATATCTAGAAAACCTAACTAACCTAATTATAAGTTCTGACTATTATAGGTAAAAGATCTGTATAAACACAATACCTACACAAGAGGAGACATATACCTACCACAAAATTGACCTTAGAGTTGTATCAATAAATGAAAATCGATACCAATGCAAAGTACTCATTCCTATATACTATTCCCCTTTTCTTTCTTTAAAAAGAGATTGCCTATGCTCATTATCATTTATAACTAACCCCATTTAAATGAAAACAAATATTTATAAACAATATTTGGGAATATGGGCGTTGTTCTTTCTA